AATTCTGTCTCTCAGAGTGGGAATGCACCTACAATGTGAATTTCAGACCCCTCCATGATTTCTAAGTGGGAGAACTTGCAAAATCGCAGGGTGTTCAAATACTTCTGTTCCTCACTGAATGTGAAGTGTGCATCTGTGTGTTTGTCAGTTTTCCTCCAGCCTCAGCCTCCTACATCCTCCTGCAATTCACTCAGTATGGAAACATCCTCAAACACACGGTGAGATGCACATAGATCCAGATTGGTCCAGTGTAATGCTGCGAATGAGGGCTGTCTGATGGTACAGTGACAGTGGGCCAGGACGTGAATGTCTGTCTGGACAGTTTGTGCCAACTAGGCATCCATAGTTTACTTTGTCGCTAGGAAACAGGAAGTGATGGGAGGGACAAAGAGCGATTAGAAGCAGCTGATGGTTTGTTTTAAGCTGACTAGACCCTCTAAGCTGAAAAAGCCATTAGGCAGTGTCTTTATGTTTTTTTCCAGCTGGATTGTAAAATGCAACTGAATGAGCTGCATAATGTTTAGCGGGCCACTTGTAAGCTGTGATGGGAGAGAAGAGAGAAGGCAGGTCCACATCTGCACAGGTGAAATGGTTAGGATGAAGAGTTACAGCACTGCAACTTCCTCTGAGAAGTAGGAAGTATACAGATTTGGGGGAAAAAGAGAGCACTGATCTCAAGTTAGTCTATTCTGTATAAGCAGAATTTCAATATCTGAAGAGAAAACACCAGACTGGTGCATCCTCAGCAGGGCTGAACCTGAATATCCCACTATTCAGATATTTATTTGTTGGGTAGGTAATCCGTTTTCAGTTTTAGTATTAGAATATTTGAAAATTGCCATTCGGGACAGCCCCAGTCCCCAGTTTGTACTGGTGTGTGGCACCCCTACTGCATACATTTGAAGTCCCTTTCTGAGTCCTGGAGCCCATGTTGGGAACCACTGCTATAAGTGATGCTGAAAGAGGGAAACTACATCTTGACCAGAGAACATGAGTTTGAAGATGAAGTAGAGCCAAAGCATGGATAAATACAGCTATACAAAACAGCTGAGGTTATATAGATGTGTTGATGATATACTGATAAGTGTATTGATGACATATTGACAGATGGCATCTCCTGGTAACTGGATGCACCTTCAGTTTCAATCCAGGCTTCAGGCCAGGAAAGCTCTGTCTAAGGATGGAAAAGTGTTTGGTGATGCCATTATGGTGGGAGTGAAACCCTGTATAGATAAGGTCAGTACTCATTTTCACTTACCTGTGCTTACCTCTGCCATCTGATTGGTTCTTCGCATCAGGTGACACTGAGCCCAGTTTTCAGCGGCAGTGAATCTCTCTCTCTCTCTCTCTCTCTCAGAGTGTGATGGAGAACAGTGAAATTTTCTCTCCTCCCCTCTCCTCCTCTGCTCTCCCTTCCACTCCTCGCTCTGCCATCAGACCGCTCAGCGCCACCTACAGGAACTCTGGCAGCGACTACCAGGTGACCTCTAGGTTCACAGTTCCTGTGATTTGGACTTGGAGAAAGCAGCTGCTGGCTGACCTTAGAAATAAATCTGTGTTTGCCTTCAGGTAGTAGCAGACAGACAGACGCCCAGGAAGGACGACAGCTTTGTTTCCAAGGCGATGGAGTACATGTTTGGCTGGTGACATTACACAGTGCATCATGGGATACCTGCAGCTTTGGAGCAGTGAGGAGGCTCATTGGACAGATGGATGAACTGATTCACTACACTGTGTGTTTGTGTGTGTAGGCGTGTGGGTGTGGGCGTGCTGAGGTTGAGAACCTCTCTTTCACTTTCTCGTCTTTTATAATCTCTATTTTTTAGTGTTCTTGTCATAATAAAGTTTTCCTCTGGCTTAAATGTAGTGACGTTCATGTCTCATTCAGAGCCACAGTGTGGGTCTGTTCATCATGTGCAATCACATGCTCACGTTTTCATGACATGGCCAAATGTTTGTGGACGCTCAAACCTGAACTGACCTTGGTTTGGGGCCACATCAAATGCTTTAAATACTTTTGTAAAGGAGAGATTTTAGTTGTTTTTTAATACATTTGCAAAAATGTCTGAAAATGTTTTACTGAGTGTGGATTAATGGACAAAAATTGCCATTTTATATATTTCTAATTATGTCTACAACAATAAACATGCAAATGTTGGATGCATAATCTCTGTAGATTCATTGTTTTATAAACTAATAGATTTGTTGCATACAAGATATTTGGTTCTGTTATATCAACTAATTTTACCTGGAAATGTGATGCCAGGATGAGTTAAGATGTAACCTTTGATAACTTACTCGTCTTTAAGTATTTTTATAGAAAATTCCTCTTAATTCATAAAAAATGAAGAATATTGCAGTTTCTGTCACAAAAATGTAGCTGTATGATAAGCAGTATGATTTCTGCTGTCAGTGTGAAACATTGTGTCCACTAGATGCAGCCACAACTCACAAATCTCAAGAAGTCCAGTGTAACCACAAATTTAATAACAAGTCCACTGGTACTTTTGGTACTGGGAATATTAGATCCCCCCCCCAAAACAGGAGAGCATAGCTACTAAAAAGCAAACATTTATTAACATGCATTAAGGTTCTGTACAGTACTCACCAGTCCTCAACTCACACCTCTGCCAATGTTGTATCAAGTTAGGCAACATTTTTTGACCAGACAGCTGCACCTTGGTGCTGTGTGTCACTGCATGACTAATGGATATTGACTAATCAGGCTGTTACATATACACATGTTCTTGCCAAACCTACACCAAAGAGGACTGGTAGGGCAAGTATTCAGTAGTGATTGCGAGATGAAGCGTCTTGAGGCCCTCCAGCCAATTGGTTCGCAAAAATGGTTCATTTCTTGAGGCTTCGTGCGCACACAAACCCCCCTGCTGGTCAAAGACTGTAAGACAGGCAGATGTATTCATAATCATTTTAACTGATGTGATACTCTCAAAGCTGCCATTTAACTATGCATTTTTCTCTTGTGAGCACAAGATAACCCATTAACCCTTATTAACGTGCTTGTGCTTGTTTGTAAATAGTGTGAATAAGACTTTCCTGGCTGATACATTCTAATTGATGTTCCATGGTAGTAGTACACATATCAAAGTGAACCTCCTGCTTTACATCAGTAGTTGAAAGAGTCATATAATAATGATAGGAGGATAATTATGTTTTCAAATTGTGGCAGTGTTAACAGGGAAGGGGGAAGTGAAGGTGCTTGTGCAACTGATGTAGGGGGACACTTTATTCATTTTTATTTAAAAACAGCATTTGTTCAACAGTGTTGGGGTTTAAGCGATTCCTTTTTTTTGGGATTTACTTCTCCGGCTTTGGAAAAACCCGGATGCTGCGGTGACTTGCTGTGAGGTAGCAAGTCACTCACGAACTCTCAAAACTCCAACACTACCCACGAATTGTGTGGCGATTCCTTGGGCTTTATATCTGTCACTACATCACGGCAAAATTCAAATCACTTCCTGAACAGCTTACACACAGCGAGGCTTCAAACGTCATCGATGACGTCACTCTCCGTAAACAATACAAGTCTCGATACGCACTTCAATAAACACTTCCTGGATTTCTCAACACAAGCTTCGAAGCATCAGCACAGGACATCCCATCACTAGAATTCAGATCTCAAGCATGACCACCAATATATATTTAAAGAACCAAAAATAAACGGTCTGCTTCAGAATGATGCATTGATTATATTCTTAGACGCTAATTACTGATACATTAGTGTACATCACAGCAGCTTGTAGAAGTGGGGCTAATTTTGAGCACTTTGTATTTTGATGGAGCTGCACGGATTCAGTTCTAGTATAAAGGATTGTCACGCCTGATACTGACGTCTTCAGAAAGTTTTATTTTCTCTGTGTGTGTGTGTGTGTGTGTGTGTGTGTGTATGTGTGCGTTTCCTTCGGACATCGTGAAAACTACAATGTAATGATAAAGACTCTTAAATATGTACAAATGTGCATTTACTATTCGTGCCTCTAGAACCACGTGCAGTATGTCGTCAACTTTGGGGCTGTACCTCTCTCTCATTGTCCATGCTTGACAGTGGACTTCAGGAAGAACCTCCCACTTTACCCCCCTCACCATACTTGGCAGCACTGTATCAGCAGTAAAGTCCTACAAGTTCCTGGGCTCC